TTCCCTCCCTTTTCCAATCCTGATCAGCATTATGGTTGCATCTAATCTTCCTATACTTCGATCACTGGCTCGAGCATGCTACATGACAGGTGCTAGAGAAAAGTTGCTTAGAAGGTAGTTGTTTTCTTGAAACAGCTGCAGGGCAGAAATGAAAAGGCTGGAGTGCTCATTCTTCACTGGTGTAAATTGTTTCTGTGACATTCAAACAAATAGTAAAGTGACATTTCTTGAGAGCTGAGACTCTGCTTCAGAGTATGCTTTGCTGTTCTTGCTGATTCGATCAAAATGAAAGCCTTAGTTCATTTTTTAGGAAGTTTGACTCTTAAGCTCTTACAAGTCATGAGGCAGGTTAGACCTACTAAATAGAGAGAGCTTTAAACACAGGTTGTTAGAAGCTATGAGCAACTAAAAAACGCTTTTATTTTTTGTCGTCTCAACCTGCAAAGTGACAAAAAAGAGAAAGCAAATGGATATACATGTTCAGATAATTGTGTAGGCCAGAGGGAAAACTTTAGTAGTTCCTTCTTAGCACTGGGTGATTATTCGGCAGCTGGAAAAAATGCTGAAGAACCTCCAAAAATTAAGTACTCTGTGTTATAAAACAGCAAAGCTTGTGATGCAAGACCTTTATTTCATGCCATCACAGAGACTGTTTTCCTGTAATCTTGTGCAGTCATAAGTCCTTGTTTCCATGCAAATCTTAAATAATTCAGTTAATCATATGTCCAGCGGTCTACAGTCAATGACACTACCAGCACATTAGGTCTCTGGAGTCGTGTTTTTGTGAACAAATTAGTTACCAGTTGTGCTATACTAACGACTTTTGTGTGTTGTTGTACATCACAGGCCATTTCCTTATTCTCTTACGGAATGTCTTATAAATTTTTTTCAGCTGCATGCTTATTTTGGAGAAGTGAAATGTTATCCTGAGAATGACTAGGCTTCTTTCTACTGACTGTTGTTCTGGTTTTTTACTTTTTCTTTAGGAAGCCCTGAGTGTAGCCAAATTGCAAGTTGAGATGGGGGCCCAGGTTCTTGACATCAATATGGATGATGGGATGCTGGATGGCCCTGCTGCAATGACAAGATTTTGTAACTTGATTTCTTCAGAACCTGATATTGCAAAGGTTGTAATTGAGTCACTCAAAAGCACAATAAAGAACCTTTTTATTGAGTTGGAAATTGCCTTTCAGAAAATGTTGATACTGATTTGTTTAGTAGCCAGTTTAGGTGGTTAATAAGAAGATGTAGGTGTTCCCCAAGAGGAAAAAGTAACTGTCATAGGGAAGGCCTTTGAGGGAAACAGAGGTTTTAACATTTTCTATCTGATTTCAGCTAAATATATGACAATACTTTTCATTGGTTAGAAAAGCCAAATGCAGGTTCCTTTTGCAGCAGTTCTGAGCCATAATCTATATATTGACAGTGCATATTGCTTTCCACAAAACTTAAAATTGCTATGGATATAGGATGGTTTTAAAAGATACTTATGCAAAGTGCGTTCTCTGAAAATGAATAGCTGATTCAGAAATGCAAGACGATGCAAGGAGAAGTAGAGGTCTCTCTATAACATGTGGTGTTGCCATAGAAGCTCTTGTGTAAAATTTGCTCTGAGTTTTGCATTTAAAGCAAAGTGAATCTACAAATGCCATCTGGAAACTTCCTATTCATAAATGCCGATTAACGTTGTGTGCATTTTTGTGTCCAGATGGGCAAACAGCATGTGGAACTCTAGTTCACAACTTGTAGGTATTCCCCTGGCTTACTTCTCTGTTATTTACAGGTGCCGTTATGCATTGACTCCTCAAATTTTTCAGTGATTGAAGCAGGTTTGAAATGTTGCCAAGGGAAATGCATTGTAAACAGCATCAGTCTAAAGGAAGGTGAGGAGGACTTTTTGGAGAAAGCGAGGAAAATTAAGTTGTATGGAGCGGCTGTGGTTGTCATGGCTTTTGACGAAGTGGGCCAGGTGAGTGTCACTTTAAAGGAGAGGTATTTTGCTTCTGGAGTGCAAGGCTTTCTTACTTTCGTGTAAGACAAAGTTGTTTTGTTTCATTGATGGAGGTGATTCAAAGAGGTCTCTATAGTCTTAGTAGTAGTTTTGACCCTGATATATAAGCATTTCTTGTGGTGCTCACGTGTGAGGGGTCCAAGTGCTGCTCTAGTACTCTGCTAGCGCAAGAGCATGTCTCTCACTATTCAGCCATGCTGAACCCTTCCTTCATAGAAGACTTTTTTTAGTTCAGAAACCGAGTTTTGCATGAGAGTGGAATCTTTGTGAATTAATTCAGTTATGTCAAAAACCACATATTAAACTTTGCATAAGATGATGAAATGTTGGGGAGCAAAGTTGTTTTTTATGAGTCAAAACTCCAGGTACAGGTGTAGTGATGTTTTTAATACAAAGTTCTTCTATATAATCCTTTTCTAGTGTTTGTGACATTCAGATTCTCAGTCTTGAGTCACGGGAACTGTAAATGGTTTCTGAGGTGTTTATTTTTTGTGTTGCGTGTAAGTTTCATGTCAGAACTTTTTTCTTCTCCACTAGGCAACAGAAACAGAAAACAAGATTGCAATCTGTTCCAGGGCTTATCACCTCCTTGTGGAAAAAGTGCACTTCAATCCAAATGATATAATATTTGACCCTAATATTTTGACCATAGGAACTGGAATGGAAGAACATAACCTATATGCTGTTAATTTTATCAATGCTACTAAAACCATAAAAGTGAGTTGTAAGCTTATTTTAACTTGAAGCATTTTGCTGAGATTACTTAAAAACCCAAACCATCACAAAACAGAAAAACACTCCCCACCTTCAAACAGCAACAGCAAAACACTGCTGCAAAATTGTATGCATTTTAAATTAGCAAGGAGGACTATTCCTCTGAAGTGCAGACATACCCCAATATTGCTGTATTTCCAGCAGAACTTCAAATAGTTCTACAAATATATTACAATCCATTATCTCTACTGTAAATATGCTACATTAATTAAGTGAGGTAACAATCACATTCATATTCTAGCTAAAAGGAAGCTCTTTGAAAGTACATGAAAGCTGCCTTTTAAAATTAATAATATTTCTGTTACTGTGGAAGGGATTTGTGCAGTAACGTGACTTTTTATTTAGCCAAAATGTGTGTAAGGAAGTACAGCAGTGAGGAACATCACCTGGATACAGCCAAGGCAGCTGCACTGTTGTTTTTCACAAGGCAACTTGATTGGTCTGGAGATGATCTTGTCTGTAGCAGTCTGGGGCTTCAACATCCCACAGGCTATTTTGTCACCACAGGGCTTCTGGAAGGGAGAGGTTAGCTGCTCAACCTCACCCTTGAGGTTAGCTGCTCAACTACAGCCTGCTCCTGAATGTGCAAGAAGGAAGTTGAGTGCTTCTGTTTCCAGAGGAGTGGGGGATGGAACAACCATAAGTAGATCTGCAGGGGGAAAATCTGGAATGCTACTGTGGGAGGACTGATATGTTTAGAATAGCACCTATGACTATGGATACCATGGTAGTTGCTTACACATAACTATGCTGGATCTTTCTTTTTACTTGTATCTTTTTCTGCAGAGATTTGAATTGCTTTTTATGAATTTGAGTAACTAGAAGGATCTGGAACAGGGAAGACAGAAAGGGTGCCAATGCACCGCAGCTCAGGGGCCAACTGTTTTGTGGACTGAGTGCTTTGCTTACGTTTCCTTTTTGGAAAGCACTTTTCTAAAAATCTGGGTGCAATTCCTGTAGGAAACACTGCCGGGAGCCAGGATAAGTGGAGGTCTCTCCAATCTGTCTTTTTCCTTTCGAGGAATGGATGCCATTCGAGAAGCAATGCATGGGGTGTTTCTTTACCATGCGATTAAGGTATGATGTGCTTTTGGCTTTCATACGTTAGTGCTTAGCAGATGTGGAGTGCCATGTCTGACAGCCCTGATTGGGGGATTCTGCATGGTTCTTTCAGTGTGGCATGGACATGGGAATTGTGAATGCTGGGAATCTGCCAGTGTATGATGATATCCAGAAGGAATTGCTGCAGCTGTGTGAGAATCTAATCTGGAACAAAGATCCTGATGCGACAGAGAAACTTTTACATTATGCTCAGGTAACTTCCAATTTTAAGCTTTGAATAATAGTTAGCTTAGCACCTGGACTTTTAACACCTCCCTGCTGATGACAGGTAGAACAGCCTGTAAATGTTAGAAGTTACTAATGTTACTGCAAGTGGTTCAGTTATTAGTATAGAATAAAATTTGAACTCCGAGAGAGATTGAGCCTCACCAATTTCATAGGTTCCTTGAACGATCCTGCACCAAAGTTCTTCTTATGCTTCAGGAGACCAAGCTGCATAGGCATTCTTTTTAAAAAAAATTAGCCCCGAAACAGTAAGAAGCAAAAAATCCCAACTAAACTCCCCCACCCCCCAAACAAAAAAAAAAAACCCTCACGAGCAAACAAATAAACAATAACCAGAGAAGGCCAATTCACAACCGAAGCAAATCTTGTTGCTGGAGCTTAATTGACAAGTGCACTGTGAGAGACAAAGAGTAAACCTGTCTCTCTGGTGCTAATGGTTTCCTTGGAGTGTAGGTAAAAGGTCAGGTAGTTGCTTGTGGTTCTGGCTGTGCCATAGACTTCCAGTTCATGTAACTCATGTCGAGAGTGAAGATCAGCTATTTAGTGTTTTTGTGGTGCTGTAATAATGATGGTGATAGAAGATGAAGTTTATGCACCTGAAAGTTTCCAGGTTATCAGCCATGAGAGGACTGGTGAAATCCTGTTCTGAAGAGAACATACAGCAAAAATCTTTCTGGGTTAGGTGGCTCTTATGTTTAAGCACACAAGAAGGTTTGCATTCCTATTTTGTAGCTCCTGGAGGTATTATTTCTCTGCACAGCTTCAATTGGTTTGTAGTTTGCCCTATGATGGTATGTGCTTTTTAGGAACAGTGGCAACATGTAGAAAACCAGGACAGGAAGACTCTCTTTATCCCTTGTGCTTAGGCTATTTTAGATGGTGCTGTTAGTGTCTAAGCAATTCATCTGGGAGTGATCTTGTCTGTATAAGCAGATGTCCTGGTTTCAGCTGGGACGGAATTCTTTTTAACACCTAGAAGAGCTCTGTGTTTTGGTTTTAGTCTGGGACTCGGTCTGAGAAGAATGCTGACAGCGCACTGAGATTTATAGCTGGCACTGAGACCTCAAGGAATTTTCGGCTGCCGTGTTCTTGACAGTGTGCAGGAGCACAGCAGGATAGGGGGGAGCATAGCCGGAACAGAGGGTCCACAACTGCCCTTATGATTTGTACTTAGATTTAGGATTGAGGGCCAAATTGGCCAATGGAGTATTCCATATCATGCAACATCATGCACAGTATAAAAATGAGTTAACTGAAAAGAAGGACCTTTGCTCTTCTGGGGCTCTCACTCTTGGTCTCTCGGAATGTTGTGTCTCTCTCTCGCTCTCTTTTTGGGCCTCTTGCTTGTCCAGGATCGCGGTGTCAGGACTTATCTGTTTTGGGATCTTTAGTCCAGGATGAGACGGCCTTGGTCAAGGGGTGGTGAGCAATTACGCTGTGCATCACTTGTCTGTATATATATATTATTATCATTATACATATGTATGTATGCATATATTATTAGTAGCAGTATTAAATTGTTCTTATCTCAACCCATGAGTCTCTCTCTTTCC